ATTTCCAGTAGGATTCTATGAAATTTGGTATGCGATAGTCCTACGGGGCGGCCTAATTCCCGAGTGCTGATATCTGCATTGATTTCCACGATATTTAAAATTTGTTCCTCCTGCTCTACAGTAACCTATCTTTCACGAATGCGAATATTAGTGGGCTGAACACTTCCTGTATCTCGAAGTCTTTGGTACATTTGCACAAATGTAAACTAACAAAACGTCGGCGAACTCTTGATTCGAGAACATTGTAAATCAGCACGACGACGTACGCGAACAAAAACAAAACAACATACTAACCACTGTTACCGTTTGCGATCGATTGCCGGTTCGATAAGAGTGATGATGACCGACGCGCTGTTGTCATGTGTGTTTTAAATATCCAATTTAATGAAACTTACTTACTGACTACAAATTTTGGCTTAACTTAGAAAAACTTAATGCCATTTATTTGTTAATTACCCAGTTCAAAAACGTCTTAGATTAGATTACAAAAATTAGTACGATTGTGGTGATTGTGGTCGATACAAAGCACTTAAAAATGTAAACTATAAAGCCTATTGACTTTTGGACCATGGGTCATATGAACTTTTTGACTTGTTTTGACCCCTAGCATAACGTTTACACCCTGTACTTCTAGACCGATCAAATCTGCGCAGTAAAATGTAAAATACGTCCCGAACGTAAGATACGCCCCAAGCAATACACAGTGTTGCGTATATTTATTTTCCCTGACACCCTAATCTACAGCTTTCCTTGGGTTTTTATCGTTGTGTTTTTCATTCTCGAACGATACAATAACGATTACTATATTTTCCATGTAAACTCGCCGAGACACCGAAAGATTTGTCAAGGGGGACAACTTTTTAACCAAAAACTACTTCGCCCCCTTTCACCCTCTGCCCCCCGGGGTCATTCCCTTAATAATTTTGAATGCAAGGGGCGTCGAGTCATGTCTTGTTTGAAAGGTCTTTCGATGTCTGTTATTTTGACGTTTGATTTTTTAAAACTGGTCGATCGCAACATTTTGAACTCTAATTTGAATAAAAAGTAATATTTTTGTGTGTTTGTTTTCTATACGAACAAATTAAGATAAATAAGTTTTTCTAATTTGCTCGAAAACGAATCGACTGATTTTAAAAAATTAAATGTCAAAATAAAGGACTTCGAAAGACCTTTCAAACAAGCTATTACTCGATACTCCCAGTCCTTCAAAATTTTTAAGGGAATAACCCTGGGGGCCGAGAATGAAAAGGGGTGAAGTAGTTTTTGATTAAAATGTTGTCCCCCTTGACAAATCTTTTGACGGGTCTCGGCGTTTTAGATGAATTCATGGGAAATTTTCAAATGAACACCCTGTATGTTCAAAAGTTTGAGAGGTTATGTTCCTGTCAGCTGTGTTTACAAATGGCATGACGTCAAGACACATTGGGCCAAACAAAGCCGACAGCGTTTTCGCTTGTCTACAAAAAATATGCTTTTAAATTAGGTCTTTCAGTCTTCTAGAACTGAAAAAATATAGCATAATTTTTTTTAGTTTAATAGAACAAATATTAAACTATACACGGTGTCCGCAAAGTTGGTGTTTTCCTTTTCAGAAACAACTACCCTTGCAATAACAAAGGTAATGTGTAGTGAAACGAGGGCGACCAAGTAAAAAAAAAAAATAAAGGAAAAAGTACTCACTCTCCAGTTGACGAGAAGGGCTAATTACGTCTATGCCCGAAATCATACCCCTCCAACAGAAAATGAAATCAGCTGATGCGCTACCGAGCAGACGCAGAAACCACATTGATTGTCTTACACTTAATGGCACATCTTCTAACAAGGAAGGCAAAATGTTGCGTAAAAAGTCTAGGTATTGCATCCCGTCCAATCGATTTGGGAGAATAAATGGTCCAATGAGCATACCGTTCACCATGCCATCCCAAACATTCACCGAAAATGTTTGTTGAAAATGTGCCCGACGGACAGCGTGCGGATTTTCTACTGACCAAACATGAGTGTTGCGAAAGTTATTCACCCCATTACGCGTGAACGTAGATTCGTCTGTCACCAATATGCACTTCAAAAAGTCCGGATTATTGTCATGTTGATGCAACAACCACTCACAAAACCGCACTCTTGCTGGAAAATCGTCAGGTTGAAGGGATTGTACACGTTGGACGTGAAACGGATACAGCCTCTCTTCACGCAGCGTTTGCCACACTTTAGTTTTTGATACTTGCACTTCTCTAGCCACGTCTCTAGTGCTTGTTGAGGGATTCTCGTCTACGACTGACCCCGACCCAGTTCTGTCGTCGGGTTGAGCCAGTGACCTTGTACCACTTGGTGATGTCGCGGGTCGCGGCTACACGACGGTATTCAGATATTTTTGATGTTGCAGAGCCCTTTATGTCGGTTCCCTTAAGACATTAGTGTATATGGTACTAAGAAAAATTGCTTATGTTTTCAAGATCTACACGTCGTGTAAAGGAAAACCCCAACTTTGCGGATACCCTGTATAAGATCAACTTTAAAAGTATCAAGTAGCCTATTTGCCAAATGCCAAATTTTTGTGCTTGAACTTAGATTCTAAAAATGGCGGACATCCGCTTGAAGTTGCTTTCTTGCGGAGAAAATGAGCAATATGTCAATGATTGCTCATTATCTAAAGTATACTCGTAGGTACACATTTCAGTATCTTTTCAGTAGGTAGAGTTTTTGGACTACCGAACCTGGGCAAGGTTTGGAGCACCAAATACACACCCAATAGCACGTGAATCTGCATCTGCATCTTAAAGGTGTATAAATGTGTATATACAGGGTGTTCCTTAATGATATGCGAATATTTAATATAAACTATGGTCCAAAAATGTTTCCTTACAAAAACTCGGGGTGTTGAAGTTTTAGAAAAACAATGGAAATTAATTCATATTTTCAGAACCGCTTCAGATATTTTACTGATATTTAGTACATAGTGAAAGTTAATAAAGTTGCATATTTTTCAATGCAAAAATAATTTTTAGCTTTAACAGTGGCGTGCGTACGGGTATTGACCTCGATATTTTTGAAGAAAGAAATGCTATGGTAACGGTTTTTTGCCAAATAAAAATTATTTTTGAATTCCCCGTTCAATTTAAAATAAATGATCTCTCTTGAATTGTTTTCCTTCGATGCGCCATTTTTGAGTTAAAAAATAAAAACCGTTCTATTGTCTAACTTGCAAAATTATTATTACTTTAATTGGAAAAATTAAACACATTAGGGGTAATGAACAACAACAACTGACAGCATAGATATAACATTAAAATTATATAAAACCAACGAAATCATTACAAGAATTGCGCACTCGTTGAAATATCATTGGAGTGTTTTTTAAGCTGCAACTATTCTTTCTCTTAATTCCTCTACAGTGTTAATGAGTCTTGTGTACACTGGTGCCTTAAGATAGCCTCACAAAAAGAAATCTAAACTGTTGAGGTCTGGGGACCTTGGTGGCCATTCTTGGGGCCCAACGCGGCCAATCCAACGATTTGAATAAACAGTTTGTGACTAATTGCGAACCGCTACAATGGAAATGCGCTGGTGCACCATCATGCATGTACCACATATTGTTTCTTATTACTAACGGAACATCATCAAGCAGCAGAGGCTGTTGTTGAAGAAAATTGAGGTAAGTCTGTCCGTCAAGTCGTCCCGGCAGCATTTTAACACTATGGTATAGGATTCGGCACCAGCCTTAATTTTATTGGTCAATTTCAATTTATTCAACCAATAACAAGCCGGGTGCCGAAATCACTACCGGAATGTTAAACAGTGCTGAGCATGGGGTCAGAATGTTATCAATTTAAATTTACTTACCTTCCGCTAAAAATACGTAAGATAATAATCAACTCACGTTGTTTCCTATTACGATATTTAATAATTTTAAAATTAATAATTTGGTTTAGGAATAAGAAAAACTACATGAAAAATTTATATATATATATATTTATATTGGTGAAAAATTAAAGCTTCCGCCTTTTTTGGGTACTTCGACAAAATTTAAGCAAGGAGGACTCTTTATACTTTTTTTATTCTCTCTAGCTTTCAATGGTTTTTGCCATCATCATCAGGAGAGTAGTATGTGAGGATGTTGCTAATTGTTGTTTACGTTAAGGATGAGGGAAACACCCAGTAACATGGTGAAAGCTGGATAGATGGTACAATGGTCAAAATTATAAAAAATACACACAGTTGTATGACAAGAACAAGTTAAAAACAGATAAAAAATTTTTTTAGAAATTGAAAGTTAAACATTACATCGTAAAGCCACTTGGTGATTGCACAAAATGGTGGTGTAAAAACTAAATAATGAAAAAGATGTCACAGCGAACAGATTTGAATAACAGAGACTTGTCAGATGTCAAAAGCCAGTGACAAATTCCAGAGCAACTAGACATTTATTGCTAAATTGCATTCTTCAATTATTATACTAATTTTTCAATGCAACTGTTTTTATTTTTTTACTCAAAACTGGCTCATCGAACGAAAACAATTCAAGAGAGATCATTTGTTTTAAATTGAACGGGGAATTCCATAGTAATTTTTATTTGGCAAAAAACCATTGGTGTACCATTGTTACGCCACTGTTAAAGCTAAAAGTTATTTTTGCATTGAAAAATATGCAACTTTATTAACTTTCACTACGTACTAAATATCAGTGAAATATTTGAAGCGGTTCTGAAAATATTAATTAATTTCCATTTTTTTTCTAAAACTTCTACACCCCGAGTTTTTGTAAGGAAGCATTTTTGGACGATAGTTTATAAAGCAAACTAACATTAATTTTTCATGTAGATTCACACCCTTAAGTATTCTCATATCATTACGGAACACCCTATACAAAGCGTATTTTTTGTTAGAAACACTACAACAATCGCCAACAGATAAATGTGCGAACTATACACGCTTACGAGAAAGAGCGACTTGTGAGACACACGAGACGAGAGTGAGTGCGCGAACCCAAACAACGTCAAACTTACCTACTAACGGCTGGTGTTGTGTGGTTTTGTGTAACCTTAGGTCTGGGATACTTCGTTTGAGCTGAGATAGCATGCCTAAACACATACGAATATATGGTTGTTTTAATAGGCTATGACACAGATTTTATTACTTTAGGCATTGGGCAGTAAGAATAACAATACTTCAGGCTACATATGTCGCATGCGTTTCGCTTGGAAGTATTAGAGTGAGATCACGAAAAAGAAGAATATGCCAATCAAGAAGGAAGAAAGTTGTGATAACTCTATGCAAAATACTTTAATTGAAGCTCTACTATCAAGTAATAAAACTTTATTTTTCATACTTCAGCCTATAGTTTGGTACTGAAAGTATACTTTATCTGAAGTCACTTGAAACACTGTGAAATACCGGGTGCGTTTTATAGATCTATATTTAACACGCTCTGTTGCTGCAAAAATCGCCAAATTTCGCAGCAAATAGCCCCGTATAAGATCAAAGGCAGTTTCACCGGTCCACGTGGAGTAAAGCACGCCTATCCGTGGACATAGCCAATGAGAAAACGTGTATTTCAGAGCTCTGAACAAGTGCAGGTGGCTACTGAAAATTGAAACAGTTTAGCCAGTGCCGTGTAGCGGTGAATAAACGTGTTTTCTTTAGTCTGTCCGTGTTTTTTCATAGATTTTATTGGTTTGTGTGTTTTTGACTTTTGAATACTCAGTTTACTTGTTGATTTAATTGTTGTGTTGATTGTTCTTGTGTGTCCTAAATATGGCTCTTTGGAGACCTTGGGAAAATGCTCCAAGCCACGAGGAGATGGTTGATGAACCTGTGCAGGCAGAATTCTTTCATAAAGATTTAGAGGAACAGACCCAAAGAGTAATCCTAAATATGTATGATTGTCTGAAAAACGAAAATCCAGATTCCTCGCAAAATCAAATTTTAAACAGAATTTGTATCCTGACAAAAATCAGTCGGTCTACCATTTATCGGGTTATAAAAAGGGGAGCTGTAGTCAACCATTCCTTCCACAGAAAGCGCATAGGGCAAAAATTAAAAAGAATAGGCCTGGGTTTTCAGGAAGATATTCGTCGTATAATATACGGATTTTATAAAGAAAATTTGGTGCCCACGTTGGAAATGATACGGGATAAATTAAAAGATTATCCTGAAGATTTTTATAATTACAAATGCTTAGACTCACTGCACTGTATTGTAAAACAGTGTGGTTTTCAATACAAAAAATTAGATAAAAGAATGGTGATTATGGAGTCGTCTCGAATCGTTGAATTGCGCCAAGAATTTTTGCACAAAGTTAAAATCTATAGAGAGCAGAAAATAAATCTGATTTACCTGGATGAAACGTGGTATGATACCCATGATGTTGTGCAGTACGGCTGGGTTGACGACAGCAACAAGTGCATTTTAAATGCACCGTGCAACCGTGGAAAACGAATCATTATTCTCCATGCTGGCAGGGAAAATGGATTTATACCTAATGCCTTGCTGTTATCTGCCAAAAATATCAAAGAATCATGTGCCGACTATCATGAGGACATGACCTCCGACTTATTTGAAAAGTGGATAGAGCAGCAGTTAATACCAAACATTTTCCCAAATTCAGTGATTATTATGGACAATGCGCCATACCATTCCCGACAGAAAAACAAAATTCCGAATACAGGCACAAAAAAACAAGACATTATTGATTTTATGAAGGATAAGGGAATGGAAATACCACAAAAATCAACCAAAGCCATATTATTGGATCTTATTAAAAGACAAAAATTTGAAGAAGAGTATATTGTTGACAATCTGCTACAGCAAAATGGCCATGAAGTATTACGTCTACCTCCCTATTACCGCATTTTTAACCCGATTGAGTTGGTCTGGACTGCTTTAAAAAAAAAGTAAGAAAACATAATCAGACCCATCAATTAAGTGAATCGCTATTGGCCACAATAAGAAATGCAGTATCTCATATTGCTGCCACAGACCTATGGAAGCAGTGTTCTAGGCATATTATTGAAAAAGAAAATGAATATTGTGTTTTGCCTTCTGTAAATCCCGTTGTAATTCCTCTACAAGATGACTCTAGCGACAGCTCCGAAGGTGAGGATGATATATAAATACCTATAATGTAAGTCTTTATATACCTTTTTATATACCTACCTGCTATGTAAATATTTGCGTATGTCAAACGTTGGAATTCTGTAATTTTTCCATTTCTTAACTTTCAGTCAACATAAATTAAACTCCCAATATAAGTATTTTTTATCCCAAATCAAAAAATAAGAAGATAGTAAAATCCATTTATTGTGATATAAAAACATTATTATTATCGTTCTAAATAAATAACCGCACGCCTATGATACGTCATGAAATTACAAAGGACCCGCCGACCAAAGGTTTTTATGCTATTTCAAGTGACTTCAGATAAACCATACCTATATTTCTTGTTTTTTTTGTCGAGTGCAAGAAGTATGAAAAATTTATTTTAAATCGCTTTATCAAATGAGAACCTCAGATTCATGAAAGACCAGTGGGTACTTGACAAATTTAAAAAATACCTGAGGAAAGATTGACACAAATCTAATTAACTACTACTGCTTCTACTACGGTATATACTCAAAGTGCGCAAACACCTGCTCTAACATAAGCCTGGTGTTGGACAAAAAGACCTAAACATGAATACTACTTGTTTGGGTACCAAAAGGCCCATTCTTTTTAGAAATTACCGAAACTTGAATATTTGCGTAAAGATATTCAATAAAATCGATGCCATTTTTAAGAATTTACGCTAGATTAGTAACTACATGAAAACTAAGTGGAAAATGAGTGGTATAGACAGATACAGATAACATGGAACGTATCCCTTGATGTACCCGAGAAAGGCAATTGTTCAAAGTCATGCAATGCTCATGAAAAGATTCATTAACTACATATTTGCCCAAAAACTTCGTTCTATAATCTAACAGTCTAAGTCAAATTTTAATGGGAAGTAGATATGTGTTTGCGAGGCGTCATCTGAAAGGCTCATTCAACAATGTTTTTTTTATATCTAAGCAGCCGCGCAGGCAGAGGCCTAAATGCCGGAACACAGCGGCTGCTATGAAATTTTGTTAATACGATTTTTGAACTGCCTAAGGTTAGTAGAACTGGGACAAGCTTCCTCTTGTAGATCGTTCCACAATTTCGGCACCCTCGGGACAAAGGAGCGGTCGTATCGGCCAGTTCTGGATGTACGAAGTTCGACACGGTTATAATGGAACGCCAAAGTCAGGCGGGTCTGACTGGCAGGCACATCGCGCGGCGCCCTCATGGTGTAGCGATAGAAAAGAGCTAGATCGCCGACGGCCAGCCGGTGCGAAAGATTCCCGAGACCGTCTGTTAGAGAAGTGTCGCCGATCAGTCGGACCACCCTCCTCTGGACAGCATCGAGCATGGATAATGTAGTCGGGGCGGCAGCACCACAAACTTGTGAGCAATACTCGAGGCTAGGCCTTATCTGGGCCTTGTACAGAGTGAGAATGTCATGTGGAGAAAAGTACTTCTTAGCCCTAAACAAATAGCCCAGATTTTTCCCAGCAGCTGCAGCTATTGACGCTAGGACGCTTTTTGTTCGTCAAAGTACAGTACTGTGCTTTGGAAGCATTGAACTGTACCAGATTGATGCGTCCCCAAGCAGTGATAGCCTCCAGGTCTCTTGTCAGAGAGGAAGTCGTCGCTAGTCTTCTTTTTTCCAGCTCTGCGACAGAGATCGGCTTGTCACTCTGAAGTCCTGCATGTAGAGTGCTGTCATCGGCGAAGCTGTGGATTGGGTTGATCGTGCAGGAAAGGAGGTCGTTGATATGTACGAGAAACAGTGTCGGAGCCAAGACCGAGCCCTGGGGAACACCCGCGTTGACGTTGTGGGATGAAGAGAACCCGTCAATTACGACGGATATCTTGCGGGCACCCATCTGCAAAGCTTTTCTGGGAGGCCGTAAGATGGAAGTTTGCTTAAGAGGGCAGCGTGCCACAGCTGATCGAACGCTTTCGTGATGTCAAGAGCAACGACATGAGCCTCACCATGAGACTGGATGAGTTTACTCCACAGTTGCGTGACGTAAGCTAGGAAGTCCCCTATGGATCGTTGGTGCCGGAAACCATACTGCCTGTCGCTAATCAAGCTGTGACGTTCGAGGTAGTCCAGAAGCTCCGATTTATGCACTTCTCCATCACCTTACTTATAACAGAAAGCAGAGCTATAGGCCTGTATTTGTAGGGGTCGGTCTTAGAACCTTTTTTTGGGGTGGGCTGGACATGAGCAAATTTCCAGTTTTCTGGGAAGGTGCCGGATTCATAAGATATCTGGAAGAGACGCGAAAGTACTGGAGCAAGCTCCGCTGCACATCTCTTCAGTACAAGGGCAATACATGTTGATTGATTTGATCTACAAAATCCGCTACAGAGAAAAAAACGGTTTAGGCAGATGTTGAAAATAGCATCTTGTATTTTTAGAGACGCCTGCAGTCAATTTGAAAGCAATAACAGAGGTGGACAGGCGGTAGATTTGAGGTGGTTTACCACAAGCTCCTATTCTTGTTTCAGCGTAGCTCGAGGTTGCCCACAGGGCGGAGTTCTGTCATACTGTGGTGCATCGTGGTGAACGAGCTCAGCAGTGCGTTTGTATACGTGCAAGCCTATGCTGACGATTCGAGCATAGTAGTTAGTGGCCGATCTTTCTGTCAATGCTGGAAAGACCGAGCTGATTCTATTCACTCCGAGAAGAAGGCTTAACGAGCTTGTCTTACCAACCTTCTTTGGGACTAGATTAGTACTGTCCAAGTCAGTAAAATGTCTGCAAGCTGAACTGGATAGACCATGTTGAATACAAGGTTAACATGGCTCGCAATCCAACGTGGGCCTGTAGATGTGTTGTTGGTGTAAGGTGGGGGCTTAAACCCAAAATGGTACACGGCCGATAGTACGTTCTTCTTGTACGGCTCCATGGTCTGGTGGCGTTGCATTGGAACTGCGATCCGCGGTGGAATAAGAGTAGTCGCACATCGACTGTGGAATCAGGGCAGCTGAATCCTGTCAAGGGTCAAACTGCAAAGGGAGGACCCCATCCTTCTATGCAGAGGTGACCTCATTACCCCTAGACATCGCTTCAACCGCAAGTTTAATGTGGAGTATCCAACGAGGGAGGAGTGGAACGCCGGCGACCGGAGACCCTCCGGAGTGAGTCTGGTACACGGACGGCTGGGTCACTGAAGAGGGCTAAGAGAACTAGGCTATCTCTGCCTCTTGGTCGTCTCACTGTTTTCCAGGCGGAAATCTTTTCGATTCTGGCTTGTGTATCTCACATTCTGGAGGAGGGAGGGCCTAGGAGAAGAATAATAATCTGCTCCAACAGCTAGGCTGAGATGTAAGATTATTTCGAGCCTCGTATTGCAATGCAGGGAGGCTCTGGATTGTCTCGCAGCGAGGCATCCGGTATCGTCAATGTGGGTACCGGGGCACGCTGGGATGACGGCGGACGATGATTTTCATATTTATCAAAATATACATTTGTGCACAGTAATGATGACTTTGTTATATGCATTTGACTGTTCCATGCTGTATGAACAGCTGAAGAGCTTTCTAGTATTACTAACAAGACCATCGACGAAACAAGGCAAGTTATATTGTTTCATTCTTGGATTTTCAGACCTAGGGAAAAAGGTGTCTCTTCTTTTAGCATTCATCACTGTACTGTTAGAGTTAAGCTCTTGTACATTTCACTGTTTGCTTGCTTAAATATAAAGGCGCGTTCCCTCTTTTGAGACTGTATTATTTTTTCTGAAGTTGTCTTTTGTTATTTTTCAGTCAGATTCACAGGATATGTTCCCAAATGATGTGTCGCTAGAAAAAAGCTGCGAGTGTAAATTTTGATTAATCAGAAGCTTATTGGAATTTATAATATTCATAACTTGCATCACTGTAATCTAGAATATACACGAATGATAAGTTGTCTAATCTTTAAACAAACAATGTATACTGCACGATAAACTAGCAGTGACGGCAGGAAAGCAGGTGTTTTGGGATAAACAATTAGAAATTATCAAAAAACTACTTGGCCAATATACTCCAATTTTGTTGTTCTTATTTAGAAGTATGAATCTTACGGATTTGAAGAATTTCAAGGAGTTGCGTTTGATTATCGTCGCATTACCAACAAGTGCCAAAACCTGCAATTTGGCTCTTTTTCCAGCCATAACATTTTTGCTGCCAGTCGGACCTTTTTACGTGTAGTCTCATTTCGTAGTTCTCTGAAATACTTAAAAATCTTATATGAAAAGTTATTTCGTTCCTGCCAACAGTTTCGATTGAATCCCAAAAAACACGTTTTCTCATTCTTTGTTGACAAATAAAAAGTTTTTCCATAAAAATTGGTGTGCCCATTTTATGCGTCCATGTTTTAAAAACCCCCTTGAACAATTTGCACCAATAAAACCAGACTTTACAATTATTTCTGGGCTACTGAGAGGCCAATTAATTAGCCCATCTGAACTACCAGAGCGATTGTGTGTATTTTAATTAATTACATAAGGCTGGTAATTGGGCTTGTCGAATAAGTAATGCTGCACTGTCTCAGTAACGCTTCTAACACCCAAAATAATGCCAAAGTCGCCTTCCCTTGGTATGATTAGACCTAGAATTCATTCGGATTTGAAGAATTATTGTCACATGCGTGTTTGCGCATCGAAGAAGGTCAACAACGACACTTGAAGGGTCAGGTTCAATAAATGGGAACTTCGGGTACCTGCAGCATTTTGTCTACCTGGGATATTTGATTATCTCTGAGTATTTTGAAAGGCCATAGTATTAGTCCAGAACTATCCCACCTGGCTGATTTTTTTATCAGAGCTTCTTTTCAGGATTATAAATCATCCCAGAATGATTTATAATGTTGAAAAGAAGCTCTGGTGAAGAATTCAGTTAGGTGGGATTTTTTCAGCAGATTGGCCTTCTTTTCGTCTAATAGTCCTGGATTATATCGAAAAGTTCATCATCACTATGAACACGTTATCCGCCTACTAATTTTTTATACAGGCCTCGTTGAATATGCTGTAATCTTTGTGATAACAGACAAAATTGCAAATTAGCAGATTGCTGTATCTACATTAACTGGACTAAATTTTCTGTCGTAGCATTTTTCAGTGACAGATCATTTTCTAACATTTCCTGTGAATCTAACTGACAAGTAACAACAAATTCATAACAGTCTCAAAAGTAGCGATTTTCCACAAACTTCTAATTCTCTTCATGACTTTTGAGACACCCTGTATAAAACGTTTTCCTATATTTTTTTATGTCAGCCATTGCATCTCGATGATCTGACATTTCACAAACTCATGACTCAGATGAAGTCGACCATAAAGTTTTGTCAATTATTATCGTTTAACAATGATTGAAGTGCAGGTTCACACCGAGTTTTTTGTACAGCTTGTCTTGAATGTTAAAAGAGGTTCAACAAGGATACTCTTGAAAAAGAGAAACGATGCAAGGCAGTAAAGGACGATTTTAATAGGAAAAAATCACAGTCTCTATGTGTTTTAATTACCTTTTCGTAATAATTTTCAGCGTAGGAAAGTTTCGCATTTCAAAGTTAAAAGTGCACTCCTGAGCATTTACGTGAAAGTATAACAGTTCAGGCATAATAACCGAAGTCATTGTAGACTTTAAAGAATTACCTTTCTGGTCCTAGAGTAGGTAAAAGGGCACGAGATACAACAAATGTTCAAGACGAAAGGTTAGACATAATAGCAAAAAGGTAGATAAGCAATGCAAATCCGTCTAAGCAACTATGGACATCACATACAGTAAATTAGGGACAATTCTTGAGTGACAAAAAACTAAAAAACATTTCTACCTGTGATGGAATTAAGAGTCGAAGATCGCCGTTTCTCTTCACCAAAGTCCAAATTCAGTGGCGTCACGTCTTGCCCAGCTTTGTCGGTGTTAAATTCTAGAATTCCATGGCCTGGAAACAAGTTCATATTCAATATACCGGCTGTCAACGAAATCGTTTTACAAAGCACTATTCAATTGCTGTTTAAAGAAGAACCTCGACATTTTATGTGGAGACATGAATTATAAAAACGCAGATTATCAATGGAAAAACAACTGAATATCGCGTCCGGTTTGACCAGAAGTGAGTACGAAACAAGAATATTAAATAGGACCCTGTACATATTTTGCATAGAGCTTAAAATTTCATTATAACTACCAATTGTGTTATACTTACCGGATTCAGATTCATCGCTATATTGTGACTCCTGCCGTCCGTTCACAGAGTTCCCTCTACTTGAGATTCCATTAGATCTAGTTGAAGGCACACCCCTGAAGTATCTGCTGTCTTTGTCCTTGGGAAAAAATGACCGCCTTGGTATCACACCGGTTTGCTCATCCTGAAAATTCATCAAATTTAACGCATCAGTTCAACATCTACGCCAATCACAGTCAATACAAAACACCAGTTGTGATGCTTGTGCAATTTGAATTTACATTTTAATGATCTTAGACACAACAATTTGTGCTACAATTGGAGCATTTCCGGACAGTGAATGAAAACAACGATTCTCTATCTGCCACTTCATATGTAATGGGTGATTTTTTTGGTAGTATCTTTTTGGCAACACTGTTTTTGACAGATGACGCGTGAATCGTGTGTTGTCAAACTTGTTGGGTTTGGTCTATAATTTAACCATGAATCGACTTACGAACGAACAACGCTTGCAAATTATTGAATTTTACTATCAAAATTCATGCTCGGTTAAGAGAGTGCATCGAGCACTGCTTCCAATTTATGGGAAATTTGGTCGGCCTACTGATGGAGCTATTCGGAAGCTTGTGACTAAATTTCGAACACAGTTTAGATTATTGGATATTAAACCACCAACACGCAGACGTAGACTGAGGACTGAAGAAAATATTGCGGCTGTATCCGCCAGTGTTAGTGATGACCTTGAAATGTCGATTCGCCGCCGTTCGCAGCAATTGGGCCTCTGTTACTACACTACGTGGAAAATTTTGCGACAGGATTTGGGTGTAAAACCTTATAAGATACAGCTGGTGCAAGAATTGAAGCCACACGACTTCCCACAACGTTTCCAATTTGGTGAATGGGCGCTGGTAAAGTTGGAGGAAGATCCACATATTTATCGAAAAATTGTGTTCAGCGACGAAGCTCATTTCTGGTTGAATGGGTACGTTAACAAGCAGAAATGCCGCATTTCGAGTGAAGACCAGCCAGAAGCATTGCAAGAGCTACCAATACATCCCGAAAAAATCACTGTTTGGTGTGGATTATGGGCCGGTGGCATCATCGGGCCGTACTTCTTCAAAGACGACAATGGCCGGAACGTAACTGTGAATGGCGAGCGCTACCGTGCGATGATAAAAACTTTTTTTTGCCCAAAATGGAAGAGCTGGACTTGGCTGACATGTGGTTTCAACAAGACGGTGCCACATGCCACACTGCACACGAAACAATGGCCCTATTGAGAGGCGAGTTCGGTGAACAGTTTATCTCACGTTTGGGGCCCGTCAATTGGCCACCTAGATCGTGTGATTTAACGCCGTTGGACTATTTCTTGTGGGCCATGTTAAGGATAATGTCTACAGGGATAAACCAGTAACGACTGACGCACTGGAAGCCAATATTGAAGCATTTATTCGTGAGATACCGGCCGATATGTTGGAGAGACTGTGCCAAAATTGGACCTTCCGCACGGGCCATCTAAAGCGGAGCCGCGGCCAACATTTACATGAAATAATCTTTAAACATTAAATTATATCGACCGTTCTATCGACTCAAATAAAGATTTCATCGTTTTTTCAAATTTTTTGTGTTTTTTTTTTGAAAATCAAATCATATACCTCTTAAAAAATCACCCGTTACAAGAGCGAATAGCAGATGCGTCACAGATGGTACGGACCACAGTATTTACTGCTTATTCCGTCAGTGTCAGTGTATTTCTACGTAATTTTATACAGCAATAAGTTTTCACTTTTTTTATTTACGAGTATCCATTATTTTTTGACGTCAACTGAGATGAACAGCTGATCAGAAAGTGACAGCTCTCTGTTAGTATTGGCAATAATGGGTCGTGTGTTAAATCTAGTAAAAGTCAATGCCGTATTCAGAGCTGTTGTTCACATATCTAGATATTTTTAGCGAATAAGATATACGAAGTACACATAGAAAAATGTATATTAAAAAATTGTTATAGTACACTTGGGATTTATTGATTACGAGGTAAGTCATGAAAACAGACTGCGGTGCCATTTCCCCACTACATGTAAAAATAATATAGAGAATTAATTCGAATATTATGGCCGTTGCATCGCCCCCTAAAAATCGTTTGATGTTTCAAGTTCTGAAAATAGTTAAAAATTGTTTATCTTATTTTATTCGTTCCTGACTTGAAATGTAGTCATTATCATTGGCAGCCATTTTGCTTGTACCTTTTTTGTATGCAAAGGAAATTTTCTAAATAAAACAGTTGTTAGCGAGTGCAAAACGAATCCGCAGCGTACAAACAAACAACAGACCTTAACAAAAGTCGGATCTATTTACCTGGAGTTGACGGATCCGTCAGAATTTTGTGTATCATGCCAATATAGTCTAATCAAAAACTGAAGTGTTTTACCATAACTCCTGTTTTTATAGTTAAGAATTCTGAGTTGTACACCAATATGCGGCCAATAAATTATTTACGAACAGATCATTGAATTTATTGAGGTAAATAACATTTTAAACAAATTTCAAGCTGGATGCAGGAGAAAACACTGAACTGAAACGGCGACATAAATGGTTTTAGAGTACTGGAGGAAATGTATGGATAATCGGAAACATACAGTAACAGGGTTTAATGGACTTCAAAAGGGCGTTTGAGACAATTGACAGGGATAAATTGCATCACTACGGATTTAAAGGATCTCTATTCAAAATTCTACAAAACTATTTAATTGACAGAAGTCAAAAAAACAACATTGGATCTACATTATCAAGATCAAAAAATATTTCCGTTGGCATACCACAAGGTAGTAAACTAGGTCCACTACTATTTATTTTGTACATTAATGACATTTGTAATATTTTAGATTATTGTAAGCTTCAGACAAAAAATACACCCTGGTATAACAAGAATATTAAGGCAGCTCAAAATTTGAGAGACAAACAATACAATAAATGTATATTCACAAAATCAAATGATGATTGGGAGGTATATAAAACTCTTAGGAATAAATGTGTATATGTAATTAGAGAAGATAAAAGGAAATTCTACGATAAACAAATCGATAATAACAAGTGCGACAGTGTAAAGATGTGGAAGACTTTAAAAAGACTGATCAATTCGAAGCCGCATGATTGTGTAAATCAAGTTCAATTAGAAAACGGTACCGGGACAAATTCTTTGGTGATTGCAAACAAACTAAATGAATATTTTGTGGAAAGTATTGTTGATATTGTGGGTACTGCCCATGCTACACCTGACTATATGAAAATCAGTTTCCAGCGGGAAATGTTGCATAGACTTTCAAAATTTCACAGCGTATCATTGAATTATCTAAGAAAAAAAGTAAACAGTTTAAAATCAAATAACAACTGTGTCGAAATCACTACTAAAAACGTGCTGAAAAACTGTTTCGAAATTTTGGGATATCCTGTATTAAATTGGATCAATTGTTCACTGAGAAGCAGTTCTTTTCCTGAAAATTTGAAATGCTCTACAATAACACCAGTTCCCAAAATCAGAAATTCTAAAAGATGCAGTAAATGTGTTACCAGACGTTGAAAAATTATTAGAGTCCATAGTGCATGACCAATTCATGCAGTTTATAGAAGAAAACAAAATTTTAGTGGAGGCGCAAGCAGGCTTTCGAAAAAAATATTCCACAGAAACAGCTTTCCAGTTGGTAACTGAGAATTGGAAAAGAGCCATAGACTCAGAAGAAGTTGTCATAGCAGTATTTTTGGATTTGAAGAGGGCATTTGAAACGATAACTTTGACAAAATTTAAAGTAAAATTGAGAAATCACTTGTTAAATCTACAATTATAGGTTGCCCAGCATTTACATCATACACCATATGGCTTGAATTTACTAGTTCTAAGTTGTTTACAATTGTTCTGTTTATGTAGCCAAATATGCTAAATAAATCTTTCTACTACTACTACTACTAGATATTTGCAGATGATGCATTAATATACATATCAGATGAAAATATAGACGCTGCTTTAAAAATGCTAAATTCTGACTTGGCAATACTTCTAAAACAAAATGTATGCTAATACGGAAATAGCTAAATGAAAATACTATCACAGTTAGGATAAATGGAGAAATAATTGAAAATGTTGAATCAATTGAATATTTAGGTATATACAGGGTGTTCCATAATTATTGCGACAAAATGATAGGGGTTGTAGAGGGCATCAAAATGAACAATTTTTCCTTATAAACCCCTGTTCGGAAATATGCCGTTTGGGCTGCAGCAAAAAAAAAGATCAGTTTCTTGAAACAGCTTACCTACAGTAATTGCTCAAAGTGTCCTCCACCTTGCTCAATACACACCTGTGCACGATTGTTCAATGATCGGCGAACTCTGTGGCATACCCCCGGTATGTCCTGAACATGTGCGGACGCGGCCATCACTCTTCCCAGTAGCTCTTGTTGGTTGGGAACAGGAGTTTCGTACACTAAAGCTTTCAGATAGCTCCAGATAAAATAATCCAGTGGGGTCAGGTCGGGGGACCGCGCAGGCCAAGGCACAGGGCCACCTCGGCCTATCCACCTATTTGGAAATTTGTCGTCCAAATACTGCCGCACTTGTAAAGAAAAGTGGGCTGGACCGCCATGGTGTAGAAACCACATGTTGGCTCTTATATTCAGTGGCACATTTTGTAATAGTTCCGGTAGCACATGCTGTAAGGATCGACCATAAGCATGCCCATCCAAACGTGGTGGAAGCCGATATGGCCCGATGATATGCTCGTCCACAATGCCGCACCAGATGTTAATTGAAAACTGATGTTGGTCTCTATGGATGGCTATGGCATGAGGGTTTTCTTCATCCCAAATGTGACTGTTATGGCTATTAAAATAACCGTCCTTTGTAAAACAGGACTCGTCAGTGAACAAAACGTAGCGACCAAAGTTTGGTTGCCTCAACTCCTGCTGCAGCCACCAACGGCAAAAACGTCGACGCGGCAGATAGTCTGCTGGACCCATGGCTTGGACTTTTAAAAGGTGGTACGGGTGTACGATAACAAAAATGTAAACACAGCAGGCTTTTTTTACAAACCGGTGAGACCATGAAATGTGCTAGACGAACATTTTGCAGCTGGTGAATTTTTTGTTTCTCCTATGAGCTCTTAAGGTAAAATTAACTGTAGTGCTCAAACGGCATATTTACGAACAGGGGTTTATAAGGCAAAATTGCATATTTTTATGCCCTCTACAACCCCTATCATTTTGTCGCAATAATTATGGAACACCCTGTATATTGTTAGTAAACTAAAGTTTGAGGATCACTATAAATACATTATTTCAAAAATTGCCAATAAAACAAATTACTTTTATAGGGCTTCTCATAGTCTTGCTACCTATTCCAAGAAAATAGTTTATAATACAATTATTCTACCGCATTTACTATATTGTTCAACTATCTTGTTCACTGCCAATGAAGCTGTATTCTCAAAATTACAAGTCTTGCAAAATAAAGCTATGAGAATAATACTGAATAAAAATAAGTACACCAAAATAAAATCTGTTACAAGAGCATTTAATAGAAAAATACACGCGTTTATCTTGTCGATATGAATCACAAACCATTCCGGAAGATAAATGTTATTCTTATGAGAAAAGGTTATTTTTTCCGTCTAAACAAATTCAAACGTTTCGTATTTGTGAGTAATTGAACTATTAAGTAACTGAATTATTCGAAGACATACGTTGTTACTGTACACATTTTAAAACAAAGCGGATGTGTCTCTCATCTGTTAGTGCGAATTACCCACAAATAAGAAATGTTTGAATTTGTTTAGAAGAAAAAACGTAACCCATCCTTTTTTGCATAAAAATGGCATTTATCTTCCGGAATGGTTTGCGATTCATATCGGCAAGGTAGACTAGTGTATTTTGCTATAAAATGCCCTTTGAACTAACCCTGTATATTGCTCAATAAACTAGTAGCAATGGCAGGAAAACAGGTGTTTTGGGATAAACAATTAGAAGAATTAGAAATTCTCAAAAACTACTTGACCAATCTACTCCAATTTTGTTGTGGTTATTAAGAAGTACGAATCCTACAAATCTGAAGAATCTCAAACATCTGCGAGAAACCATCGTCGCATTACCAAAACCTGCAGTTTTCATCGGTTTTCGGCCATAACATTTTTAGGCCTTATAAATACCTAAAAATCTTATATGAGGAGCTTTTTCGTTCCTGTCAACACTTTCGAATGAATTCCAAAAAACACGTTTTCTCATTCTTTGTTGTCGAATAAAAAGTTTTCCCATAAAAATTGGTGTACCCATTTTATGCGTCCATATTCTGAATACCCCCTTGAACAACTAGCATCAATAAAACCAGACTTTACAATTATTTCGCCAGCTTGGGGTATTTTTGTCTAATATGATTCGACTAACACTTTGAAATGTTACTATATAATCAGCTGTAATTCTTCCGTAATGGATACTCGTATAAAAGAGCCTAAATCAAGTTTCGCCCATTATCCTTATTTATTTCATATGGCATTAATAAATAGTTAAACGAAAAAATCGGCGAAAAGACCAATAAAGTAATTTAAATCATACTTACGTCTCTTAAATTAAACGTAATCTCTAAATTGTTCAAAAAGTGGTTGTAAAATTCTGGATACATCTCTAATACGTCTAATAAATCATCCCTATGAATTTTATGTAGATCACAGTAGGTCAGCGCTCTAACGTTACACGACGATTTTCCCAATGTGGGATGTAAACATGGATTCTCTCCAAAAATATCGTATTTACCTAGAAAGAAGGAAAACAAAATTAAAAATACGAGCAACCCAAGCAGTTCCTTTTAGTCTTGGCCTCGACGTAATGGAAGAGCACCAATTTACTTTTCAAGATGTAGTTTTTAGCGATAATCAGCGTTTTGATTCAGAACAGAGCATTTTTCGCATTTGTTATTGATATCTAAAAAACCTCTGAAATTGTCAGGATGGAACTGGACTTTTATCCATTTGTCTCGCCTCACTTGTTAGTCTATCCTTGTGATAAAATGCACAAATTTAATGTAAACATATGTGCTGCTAGTCCTATCATGTGGTACTGAAAGTTTTGAGAAAGTTTAGAATAATATCAGAACCTCGGACTCCGATTCCATGGAATGGATTTTCGTGTATCATAACTTTTACAACAATAATAAGTAATGAAAGAATATCAAGAAAAACGGTCTGATTCAGAAAACAGTCTCAATATCTTTAGAGCGGAAATGTCCAAGTCGAGAAGCAGTGTAGCCAATTCATTCAAACATTTTCGTTCCACCAGAGGCGTGGAAGAAATTTTGTACCATTACAGAATAGTAGTAGTAGTTTATTCAAAACCAAACCAATATAACTTACAAATTAAAAACAACCTTCAGTACAATTTAAATAAAAAACAGTTTCAAAAATACATGAGCTTGTATGCTCTTGCTACCCTGAATAACCGAGATTGCAACAGAAATCTAAGCAAAGATACTAGCATCAGATCTAGAACAAGCAAGTAATGGTATATAATACAATTGTGAAAATTCTGTATACTTTCGTAAAGGGTAAATGTCTGAATCTGGTCGTCACAAATCCTAAATTACGTGTCTGAATAAACAAATCTAAAATTCATAACAATAATACAGAAGCAAACTAAAAACACTCAGAAGTAAATATAGAGTGCATACAATATGAATATCTGAGATATGATAATATAGGAATATTTCGAGTAAGGTCAAACTATGTTGTTTAAACAATAAAAATATTGCGTAAAGGTTAAGCAGAGAAACAAGAGTACTACAACTTACTACAATCTTTCGTATAAGCTATAAGCTTGTGTGTGTCATAGATTGAGAATTATTCTCTACGCTACTGAATTTTCTGAAATATCTTTTGTATTTCTCCTTTTGGTGAAAAATTGGTTCGAATGGACATATCAATAGTAGCTTTTTTGGTTATTTTTGGATATACATCCGACTCTAGAAATATTGTATATCGTTGATTCGCTGAGTTTCATCTAAATCACTCAAGTAACTAAATAAGGAAGCTGCTCGGCAATGGGGTCATCGATTCGGTCGTTTTTTATGGTGATACATCACAATATTGAAACGTTTAGGAACACTATTTAAAAAATCTCTATTATCCTTGGTTAAATAAATTGAACATCAGTTTACATATGTACAGCGCCTTTCAGAAAGGTCCCCCTACTGATATTTTAAACGGATCAAGTTGAAAAGCGCTGTATATAAGTTTCATGAAATATTATGAGAAATTATGAAGCAACTTAGGAGAAATTCAACATTTATTTAGATAATCAATAAGCAATAATTATTGTGACATCTGGCACAACATATAGATGCTGTGTATTAGCAGAAACGTGTTTATGAATGTGAATGAAGTATGTTTTTCAATGGACACCTGATGTAAAAAAACAGCATTGTTATATTGTGCGAGATGTGATAATAATTATTGCTTCGTATTTTTCTATGATAATTATCACTCTGGTTTTTGCAAATAATTATAATGTAAGTCAGTATTTATACGTATATATTATAGTTAAATTCCTCCTAATTTGATTCAGCATTTTTAATTTTCTTCTCTTTAATTGTAAAATCTAAAAGGAAAACGTCAATGAGCATGCCGTTTGAGAAACATATATATACTAGGTGACATATAAATCCGAACACCCAGTTTAAATGGTTTTATTTTAATAAAATTTTGTATAAGTACTTAATGAAGCATAATAAGTAAATGATAAAAATTTCAAAATGATTGCACTGCTTTAAAGCCCTTTGACCTTTAATAATGTGTGGATGCACCCTGATGTGCTACGCATTCTCCAACGCGCCTAGGCATGCTTCTGATCTCCTACCCATCATATCCCACACGTGTTCAATTGGGGATAAGTCTGGAGATCTTGGTGGCCATGGTAACAATGTGACATCATTATGTTGAAAGAAGTCTATTGTGACTCTTGCAACATGTGGTCGGGCATTATCTTGTTGGAAAGTTGGATCTGCCAGGGTGTCAAGATAGGGTAAAAGATGGGGTTCTAGAACTTCGTGGATATAACCTTCTTTAACCTTTGCCTCACTTAGTCTTGGAAATTTCTGACGCAGGTATTGAAAAGCTGACCCATCTCTATCTAATGCCTTGACAAAGTTTTTCATTAGGCCCAACTTGATATGCAGTGGTGGTAATAAATTTTTTTTCGAATCTACTAATGGCATATGCTGTAATTTTTTTGACCTGGCTCTAGGAATTGACGAACAGGCCAGTTTTGTCTGGTGTAATGAAGTGCCTTTGCCCGACTGTCCCATCCACACAAAAAACAGCAAAACTTTGTGTAGCCTAGCTGCAGCCCAAGTAAAAGTGCAACAACTTTCAAATCACCACAAATATGCCATTGGTGCTCATCGTATTTTATGCATGTCAATAGGTACTTCATATTGTCATATGATTCTTTCATGTGAACTGCATACCCTACAGGAAGAGATGGTAAAATATTTCCAATATGCAATAACACTGCCTTTAAACTCAATGTTGAACTGTCTATAAACAATCTCCATCCTTCTGGGTTATAGTTTATATTTAAAGCCTCCAGTAAGCCGTTAATGTTACTGCTGAAAACCAAGTTATTCTCCATATTGAAAAATGGTTCTAAGTCTTTGTGGCGTTTACGAAAAACACATACCGAAACATCGTCTTCTAACAAGTTCCACTGCTGTAGTCTTGATCCAAGTAACTCTGCCTTACATTTTGGAAGTTCTAAATCTCTTACAAGATCATTTAATTCTGACTGTGTTATTTTGTGCGGTTGGTGGCATGACGTGCTCGGTATAAAATCAGGATCTCTTGACGTTGATGGCATATCTTCTTCCTGACGAATCACTCGATCGCCATGATCTGATTCGTTTTCTGATTCGCAAGTTTGGAATAGGATTTTCGTCACTGTGAGGCACAGGTCTCATCGCAGATGGTATGTTTGTGTAGTTAATAACCGATTTTTTTTTCTTGGACATACCTGCGGCTTGTCCAACACAAATGCAAAAGTAACAATCATTAATATGATTTGTAGGCTCTCTCCAAACCATTGGGACAGCAAAGCGCATAGACCGTTTTTTGCCATTTAACCAGCTCCTCAGACTTGAAGCACATGTATTACAGCAGATGTGGGGTGCCCACTCTTTGTCTTGATCACCTAGTTTACAACCGAAATAAAGATGATATGCCTTTGTTATTAGTGGAGTAATAGACCGTCTCTGAGACGCAGAAGTAACATCACCACACCCGTAAGAAAACTGATTTGGATTGTTTACACACTTTCGAGACATCTTGCATGAACGCTGTCAGCCAACTGAGGAAAAAATGGCTAATATAAAACAATATAATGTACACGTATGTATAACGTAACACAATCATGCCGATTACATCATCTTTCCTTGCTGAATATAAAAATGTAGCACGTGCATTCTTGTGAATTACAGTATATTAACACTGTCACAGCAGGAATACATATAATTACCGTATCTCTAAAACTTGAACTAATATTGAAAAAATAAGTTGCATTCCGGTTTTAGCACATTAAAAATAGTAATATTTTGTTGATTTTATTTAGGATATTTTTTGGCTGTTGATCAGTGTTATTTGCGGCGCCCATATGCCGGAACTACCCATCCTACAAAAAAGGTATATTTGTAGATTGTATATAATTTTCTCTAGTTTAGTTTACCACGTAGCTATTTTCAATGTAAAATGAGTTGTTGCGTTCACATTGTACGAAAAACTTACCTAAAATTGCCATAACATTATCGTCCCTTAAAATCTCAATCGACCCTCTTGATATGAAATATAAAGACGTGAGCACGTCGCCTCGATGCACCAGGGTGTCGCCAGGGGGAGCGTGGGTCGTTTTGAACTTTAATGATAGAGCCCTGTGAACAAATTAAAACTTATGAACGTACAACTGAAAACACCAAATACAATATTTAAACTGACTATGGATAATATCCACCTTTTTCTTGGAGTGGTGAGGGTCTCGTACATTGTTACTTATTAATGGTTTCCTTAACGAGTGATGCAATGCATATGTTTACGGACATTGATGATAATCGATGGTCGTTGATATGAATACTCACTCTGTTTGGGCAATGTTGTTAATATTCTTAATTTAACGTCTTTGGATATTTTGCTTAGAGATTTTTACTCATTCATTGTGAATTTTAACTGAAAACTTTTATTTTCTAAAAATGTCTATTTCGATATACATCCATGTAAAGTAAATTGAAAATTAGGTAATTAGGAATTAGAAATGCTAATTTGACACACGCCAACAATATCGATTAAAAAAAGCAGGCTTCACATATACGTATTCCATCATTTAAATTATTCGATTAATTCGGGACACAGACGAGATCGAATGGCACGTATACAGGGTATTTCAGTTTATTGTTGCATAACTTTAAGATTCGATAGAACTTTTAAAATTAATGCATAAAGTCTATATAAACATGGGTGGAAAAATGCGTGGCTTCCGGAATACAGGGTGTTTTAATTTACTTTCTAAAACAGTTTTTTTTAAATATTTTGAACAATGTTTGATGTATAACAGTGAAAATTGGTATACAAGGGTTTTTTGGTACGACAAAACGAACCATGGTTTTACTGTAGCCGCTAGAGGGCGCTCTCTACTGTACCTGTAGTGAATTAAAATGACCGAAAATTTTTTCTTAGTGCAATTTTTTGCATTTTAAAAAAAACTGATTCCTCGCACTTTTCTGCATAAAAAAGCTCTCCTGTGAGTTTTCGTTATGGTTAGCCGTTTTTGAGATATTTCGATTTTTAAGGATCGATGCATTTTTAATTACTTATGGGAAAATAATATTTTTTTTACATTTTCGATTTGGGCATTACAAGTACTTATAATGATCGTTAAGATTGTGTTTTTAAACACAGCAATAATTCCTAACCCCAAATAAACACAAAAAAAGACCAGTATATTAATTTGTTTAATTTTCCAATATTATTTTTAACAAATTAAATTAATTATTTACAACTAAAATGCTATTGGATAGTTAGGACAAACATACAAAATCTAAAGTAGTTGCTCGAAATGTAAACCCAATTGTTCAATACACAATTCACATCTACGAATGATCGAACGTAGCATTATTCAAATAAGGCCTTATTTCATCACATGCATTCCTGATTCTGTCTATTAGCATATCTCTTGTGGTTACGGGAGTCTGGTATACTTTTTCTTTTAGAAATCCCCACACAAAGAAATCTAATGGATTTAGGTCAGGGGATCGTGGAGGCCAGGCGACTGGTCCTCCACGGCCGATCCATCTTTCTGGATAATTTTCGTCCAGCCAGTTTCTAACTATTCTCGAATAATGAGCTGGACAACCATCAAGCTGGAACCAGGCCAATCTTCTTAAATCTAACATAACATCATCCCACATATTTGCATGTTCAGCCTTTAAAAATTCCAAGAAGGTCGCAGCATTTAACCTTGCAGGCAAAAGGTAGGGTCCAAATAGTCGATTACGGTAAATACCGATCGACACGTTCACACTAAATTCATGCTGAAAATTTATTTCCCGAACTGCATGCGGATTTTCATGCGACCAAATATGTTGATTATGAAAATTTACCACTCCACGTCTAGTGAAGCTTGACTCATCGGTTTATAAATCGTTACTTAAAAACTCCCTATTATTATCAGTTCTATCAAGAATCCACTGACAAAATGTGATTCTTCGGTCTCCATCCCCTGGCTGTAGTCCTTGCACAGGTTGCAAGTGGTAACGACGTCTATGGTCATTTCTAAGAACACGGTGATCATGGCTTGCTGAAATTCCCAAGGCACCAGAAACTCTCCTAACACTTGTGGTCGGATCTCTATCAAACTCACGCAGAATCATACGGGTAAATCTGCGCTGACGAACATTTATGTTTTGATCCCTTTGGAGATTTCCAAAACCATTTTCAATTATTTGGCGATGCACTCTTACAAATACTGAGCGAGTTGGATGTCGTCTGTTTGGAAATCTTCGTGCGTATTCTCTGACTGCATCTGCTGCGTTTCCATTTACAAAGCCATACACAAAATGAATATCCGCTAACTCTTGATTGGAAAATAAAAATGGCATTTTTATAAAACTTACAAAAGAAAACAGGTAAAAGAAACTAAATTCCGTGCATTCACAATTGCAAAAAAACGTTTCATATTTCAACAGACAACAAAACTAACTGTCAACTAATTGAATAATATTCTGCTTTCAATTTCAAAAATATTTGCAGGCACAGCCTACTTCTAAAAATTATCGAGATACTGACTTTTTAACGTTATTTTATCATAAATAATTAAAAATGCATCGAACCTTAAAAATCGAAATAACTCAAAAACGGCAAACTATAACGAAAATTCACAAGAGAGCTTTTTTATGTTGAAAAGTGCGAAGAATCAGTTTTTTTATTCAAAAAGCAAAAAATTGCACTAAGAAAATTTTTTCGGTCATTTTAATACACTACAGGTACAGTAGAGAGCGCCCTCTAGCGGCTACAGTAAAACTATGCCCATGGTTCGTTTTGTCGTACCAAAAAACCCTTGTATACCAATTTTCACTGTTATACATCAAATATTGTTCGAAATATTTAAAAAAAACTATTTTAGAAAGTAAATTTAAACACCCTGTATTTCGGAAGCCACGCATTTTTCGACCCATGTTTATATAGACTTTATGCATTAATTTTAAAAGTTCTATCGAATCTTAAAGTTATGCAACAATAAACTGAAACACCCTGTATATCTTTTGCTCCGAATGCGTTCTCCCGCTCTCGTGTGCGCAATCCCAGCAAATCCTCATATCTCTTCCTACAATTGACGAGCTATGATTATTGCAACTTGCAGGCTAGTCGGTATGGGGCATACGTCTAGTTGGTGCATAGGTAAGCGGCTAGTTCTTGGCGGGTCAAAGTAAGACTACCAGTATCCCTTTATACAGGGTGGCGCATCGAAAACGAAACAGACGCATTTACTGGCAGTTCAGTTTTTTTTTTGGAAAAACGCTCAGACCCGTCGATTTTCTTTTCGAGGGGGACACAAGTTTGGTAAAAATCACGTTAGCACGTGCAGCCCCCTGGGTGGGTGTGACACCACCCCCAAAATCTTAAATGGACAGGGGGGTCGAGTGATACCTTATTTTAAAGGCCTTTCAATTCCCTTTATAATGATATAAAACTAATGTACTTCAGTTCAGTAGTTTTGAAGATTTATTGATTTAAGGCCTAATACATCATAATTAGTGGGAATCAATACATTTGGCAGCAAAGTAATTTAAAAATGAAGAATGAACTGACCCGTTAGGCAAGTAAATGTTGAAAATGGCCACCATGACTCTCCATGCAATAACAAAGATTTTGCTCAAAACGTTGCCGCACATTTTGCAATATTTGAGGAGTAATTTGAAGGCACTCATTCAAAATTCTTTGTCGCAGGTCTTCTAATGATGTTGGCTGAATAGCATAGATTTTGCTTTTTAAATGACCCCACATAAAGAAATCCAAAGGTGATAAATCTGGCGATCTTGGGGGCCATTCAATGGCACGTCTTCTACCAATCCATCGATCTAGAAACGTCTGATTTAAATATTGTCGAACACGTAATGCGTAATGTGGTGGGGCACGATCCTGTTGGAACATCAACCTATTCGCAATGTACCGCCGATCATTCTGATTTTCAATTGTGGCTGTAAAGCCGGGTTTACACGGGTCAAGTAAACGGTCAAGTTGAGCAGTGAAGTCAAGTATTTTTTTCTACTTGCATCGTCTAAACGACTTCGGCCAAGTAAAGTAACGACTTGCCTCAAGTGACGAGGCAAGTCAAGTGGTTCTGCACGGTGAACAAGTAACTTTACTTGACTGCTACCCCCACTTCACTGGATCGCCAACTTGACCGTCTACTTTACCAATGCAAACAGAAAATGCAAGAGTAAATAAGTTTTTGCGTATGGATTGTGGATTTGCACTCACAGATAAGCAAATAATTTCGGTGATTTTGGTATATTACAAATTGTGAATTAAGGTTGAATTTATACAAGATGAAGTGGCCAGAAGAAGAAACCATGAATTTTGTTGAAGAGTAGTGTAAATTATCGCAATAAAAACATGCGAAAAGCAGCGGAAGAGGACATCGTGAACAGGATGGAAAAGGAAGGGTTTGGGGTGGCAGAATTAAAACAAAAAATTAAGATAATGGGAACAACCTATATAATCAGGAAGCGTTAAAGTTTAAAAAGTCTGGGAAATCAGGAGGTAAACCGGATGATATATACGTTGCAACTGTCAAGTGGTTCCGAAAAATGGAAGAAATAATGGATAGCTACACAGCTGAAAATGAAACGAAAAGCATAGTAAGTCAAAAGTGTATTTTTGTAATAACTGGTAACTAATTTATAAAATTTCGTTGCGAAGGCACTGCTCCTTCAGAAATAGTATAATCCCTCATTTTGTTTGGCATTTGTTTTGCTATCTCTGACGCCCCTGTATGTTTCTCAGTTCTCGTATCTCTTGTCTCCACTGTCCAGGTATTATTTCGCCAGTGTGTTGGTTTTGACAATCAACCAATTGTGCATTATTGAAGTATTGATCTGGTGACGTTTTTCGTAGCCTGTTTTGAATTACAATTCCAGCACTAACCAGTTTATTCACATAGGAAACTTTTATCTTTATTTTTGTTTCAAAAACACGAAATCTACTTGCTAAGATTCCAAAACCATTTTCCACTATTCTTCTGGCACGACTAAGCCGATAATTGAAAATCTTTTCTTCATCGGTAAGAGGTAGTCGGTATCTACTATATGGTTTAAATAGATAGAGTTTTAGTGGAAAAGCATCATCACCAACTAAAAAGTAACCATCGGGTAGTAAT